GTTGGAGGGGTTCAAGTCAAGAAGTTTCAGGAGCTCCTCCTTGCTAAACTGCATCATGCTTGCTGCTTGTAAGTGAACCTGTGGGGAAATATGTCATTACAGATGTTATCAGCATCATGAGTGTTCCAAACTCCACCTCAGTACGAAAATTTACCAATTTCCTGAACTACGACAAGCTTCCCATTATTTCAGTCTTTTAAACTACTATGTCAAAGCATTAGGCCCCAAGATCTGAATGTTGGTTTCTGTGCATGTTTGAAGTCATTCAGGTCTCAACATAATTTCTAGCTAATTTTGAATTGTATCAATAAATAAAATACATATATTGGTACCAACAGTGGTAAACTATTTTCATTTTCATATCCATGAATATAACTTTCAAGGCACAAGGACAAAACTCTCCTCATTGATTACTTCTTGTGTTTTCTGAGTTCTTGCCCAATCACAGACATTTTCACTTACTTTCTGTTTTTTAAGGTTGTCAATGAGTTGCATCTGTTTCTTGAACCCAAGCAGCAACTCAGACTTCTGCTTCTCAAGCCGCTTCATGACTGCGGCTACCTCATCACTCTTCCTGCGTGTGACATCTCGTAGTTCTTTGTTGTCATGCTCATAGTTATTCATAATGGTTCGCAATTTTTTCAGCTCCTCCAGTGAGCGGTTCAGTCGCACCTCGTTCGCTTTATATGACTGCACTGTTGTCCGCAATTCTTTCTTGCCAGACTCCAGTTCCTGAAATCAGAAGCCATTATCTTGCCACTTTTGACTTCAAATCCACCTGGATCTAAGTACTCAGCAGTTCCCCAGCCATCCCAAAGATGTTTGATATTAGGGAACCAACGGAGCACTGTTGACACGAAACTCATTAACATCCTGACAGCATATTTCCCTGAGACCCACTTTAATATTATCCTCCTATCTATGTCTGAGAGTCCCAAGTTATCTCCACAAGTTTCTTATATCCAAATTTTTTGTGTAAGTTAACAGTCTTTTGTGAGATTTGAGGCTCTTATGGCAATGACTGTGAAAAGTACTGTGTTCTGAAAGTGACATCCTGTAGTCTGGTAGAAGTTTATTGACATTTCAGAGATATGTACTGCCTCCAACTTCAGAATCAATGAATAAATGAAGCAAGCAACAAGTAGAGTCCATGCTAGTAGATGTGGACACACTGGTGAATGGGGAAGTTAATATATGACTCAAAATTTCTGGGCCCCATACACACAGAATGCAAAATACCAGCAGGAGAGGATTACTCAAAATAAACTGGGGAAAAAAAAAAATCAGAGCCAAATATTATCAATTTGCAAGACACAAAACACAAAGTTAACAACGATGATGAACCACTAGCCA